ACCTAAAAGTTTCAAAATGGGAAAAAGCTCCTTCATCTTATCCTTAAACTCACCCCCCTCAGCCAACTGGTTCGTATCTAACCACACAATCGCATCCTCAATCTTCTTATCAACCGGAGTAAACTTCTCACCAAGCTTCTCATCTTTCGTTATGTTCCTCATGTTGTACGTATAATTCTCCAAATCATTCTTCACTTCCAACTTCTTCTTGTGCTCCTTATCTCCAGACTCATATTTCCCAGCTTCCTGAACCATCTTCTCAATCTCATCCTTTGAAGGTCTCCCTTTGTCATTAGTAATTGTAATATTGTTCTTTTGCTGTGTACCTTGCAATATTATCTTTCAAGAAGACCCTTCACAAGCTTTCCCGAATTGGAGCGATACCAGATGTAAGTTTGGACACCAAAAGCCGCCGCCGTCCCCCTTTCATCGGTACTACTTCATTTTTTCATCATTCACCATTAATCAGAATCAATTCCGGTCTTATTTGCTATATTCCCCTTTGCGACTGTGTTGGACAATGCTACAATATTTGATTGATTAGTTTTTGTTAGAAAATGTCATTTGGTTTCGTTTCCTGTATTTATTTCTCAATTTTTTTAGGTTCTGTGAGAATTGAAAGGCAATGTATTATGATCAACAGAATGTGCACATTATGTGTTTGTTAAAATGTCTAAACCAAATTTTTAGCTTTATTAGACCACTTAACCTCAAATCGAAGCCAAGTTCATAATCTTTTACCAGGTTCTACTTTTTTTTTTTTTTTTTTTTTTTTTCTTTTTTTTTTTTGAGTTTTAGCCCTAAATAGATTAAGCCCTATCGCATCAGCCATGAGACATTTCTCGTCTGCAACCAAAGATGTAATATGGATTCTTGTGATTTTACATATCAATCATATCGAACCAAAAGGGGATTTAAACACTAGTAGACCTTTGCATAGTGCTGAAATTAGGTTTTAGAGAAACTGGTATATATAGATTTAACTTCACATTTTTGCAGATGACAGTAAGAGATTCTCCGAACTCTGCTCTTGATGAGGAAATGGCTGCTGATTCCAATGTCTTTATCATGGGTGAAGAGGTAACTAGCTAGTACTGTGTTTATCTTTATATATCCAGAGAGTCTTTTGCTATAAGCCTCGTCTTCTTTGTGATGTGTAGGTTGGAGAATACCAGGGTGCATACAAGGTTAGAATTTCAAAAGCATTCCACTTGATCTATCAAGTTTGTGTGTGTTTTGGTCTCATAATATTGGATTTATTTATGCTTAGATAGAATACAAAAGGATTGTTACATAAGTATGGGTCTGAGAGAGTTGTTGACACCCCTTTCACAGAGGTTAAATAATTAGTTCTTCTTCTTCCTTTCATTTTCATCAATCTGTTGTTATCTTCTGTACTTAAAAGTTAAAACAACCTCATGAAACATAGTTTCCCTCCCATGTATATATCCAGGATGGCTTCACAGGCCTTGCTGTTGGTGCTGCATATCATGGTCTGAAGCCTAGTGCTTCTACTTGTAGTGGAGTATCCTCGAAGCGGCCTTAATATTTTAGAAAGGTGCATCATGAAATCCCAATCAAACACAACCTCCTACTCATTCCTTGCTCTTATCCAAATCTTATAAAAAAGAATGGTGCATCACAAAATCCCCATGAAGCACAACACCACATCATGAATAATTGAATCTTAATCAAACTATAAATACCAAACAAAAAGAAGGGCTACTGATTCACATTTATTATGTACCCAACCCAACCCAACATTTTAATGACCCCAAAATTCCAATATTATGGTACTTATAACATTGATTACATTTATTAATAGTCAATTTGTATTGATGATTAGATTTTAGTGCAGGGCGTTTACAACTGAGTATGATGATTTGAACTCTAAGTCCTGTGAAGCTGACAAAGATGTTAGTGCAATGCAACTAAAAATACAAGATGTCAACAATAACCTGGCCAAGCTTCACAAAGATAAAGATTGTAAGCCTTCATAAAAGCTTTAAAAGTTATATATATCAAAGGAAAATTTCTCCATCAACACTTAGTTTTGCTTCTAGTGAAATAATGAGTTAAATTAAGTCTTAATTAATCTTGAGTAACGATGTGTGGTGTGGTTCGCGGAATGTCTTTTGAAGGAATAAAATTTGTTAAAAGGAATTGTAATTATCAAAATCGAAGAAAACATGTATAATCAAAATCATTTTTTATTAAAATTCGACTTTGAAATTTTTATCAAAATCTGTTAAAAGTCTTAATTAATCTTAAGTTTTGCTTTATGGGTTTCCTGTCGAATTGAGAACGTGTATCAACATAAACATCTGATACCTAGCTTATAATATAGAATTATGTTTACATTTTTTAATTTTCATGGTTCAGATACCTGTATAATATTGAATTATAATATTGAATTATGTCTATATGTCTTAATTTTCTTTTTTATATATGGGTTATGTTATGACAGTCTGTCCTGATCAGTAACCGTTGATATTGAGCCAAATATATAGCTGGTGGAACTTGTGGAACTTCGTCGTTTTTTGCTGATGTGAATCCAGTTCCAACATTTGTTTTATGTTTTTTTGCAGGTCCAACACTTACGATTTTTGCAGTCTCGATCTTACTCACACAATTAAAGCCATTCACAGGATCAAGATCCCCAATAACAGTTAGTCTCCCATCTTCTGTATCGACATGAATTGAGTAAATGCCCAGAAGCTCAGATAACGCCTCTATCACCTCCTGTTTTTGGGTTTGACTGCGTAAGTTGACTCCCAACATAATTTCCTTAAATGTACATCATAAATTTTAAGAGATATATTTAGGACTGAATGTTAGCTTTTGGTTGGCAAGAAATGGACTGAAATTCAATAATCAACATCGAGTAGTTCTTAATTATTTGTTTTTATTTATTTTGTTATATAAAACATATATAATGACAGTTGTCTGGTCTTCTAATAAAAAGAAAGAAGAATGTAATTGATTCCTTCCATCTTCCGCTAATAATGGTGAAATCTATTAAGCATGGAATTCGAAGGAATTGAATTCCACCAATTTGGCAATAAAACACATCATGGAATGGAATCTCGAATTCCAATTCCCTCGGATTCATGAGCTAAACATGCCCTTAAGATTTTATTTTCTTGTGGAAACCAAACAACGTGCAGTAAACAAGGACAAGTCTTTGTAACACCTTCTTAGAAACTTGATTTTTAATGCTTTAGGCTAGTTATATTGCAGATAGAAGGAGAGTTATTGAGTCAAAGCTTCAAACTCTGGTACAGGTGGTTTCTGAAAGTGCAAAGATGAAACAAACACATAGTGCTCTACTTTCTGAAAAACAAACATTACACAAACAACTTCAACAAATAAATTCAACATTTGAATCACTAAAATCACGGATTGCTCATTCAGAAGAACAGGTATAGTTTCATATAAGAATTCATTTTTTTTGTTAATGATTTTATAACATGTTAAGATATGATGATGTAGATGAATGGTTGTGTGACACAAGCTCTTAATTCAACTAAAGAAGACAGACACCTGACAATCAACCTTGAAAACAACAAGTGGGAATTATCAAATGCTAAAGAAAAAAGGGATGTCCATAAAACGTTCTCTTCTTTCAGCTTTTTTTAATTTCAGAAACTACTAACTCAAGATATTAATTAATTACTATAATACCCTTGACTTGAGATAGCAAGTACAACATTGCTGATGGTATGCAACAAATGTTTGATCCTTTTGAACGAGTTGCTCGTGCTCATCATATTTGAGTTGAGTTTGTTTGTTTGAACATGTGTAGTAATTGATTTGTTGTAGGGAAAAGCTAGATGATGGACACAAGCATATGATTATATGGTGTCTGATAACGGTTTTGTGCTTGCTGCCATTGGTGGACATATTGAAGCATTTCAATGGGTCTACAGGGGCAACTATTCTTGATCTGCTGAGTTGCAAGTTTTTAATCTTTTAGAAGAACATGGCAACATGCAGATTATTTAAAGCTAATCAAGTTAACTTGGGGTGCATTAGTATCGTAAAGACGCTTCGTAAATGTATATCGTAAATGTATTACAATTTTTTTGACATGATGTTATTGGATGAAATTGATTGTTTTCGTAGATATTTGTTTCTATAATTTTGTATTATGCGTAAATGAGCATCGTAAAGACGCTTCGTAAATTTATATCGTAAATGGTTGCTGAAATTTATGACACGCAAATGCGTATCATCTTCATTTATGACAGGGGCTTTAATGATACGCAATGCCTGCCCTAAAAGCGCGTCGTAAGGTTACGACACGCAAATGTGTGTCGTCTTCCTTTATGACAGGGTCTTCCTTGATACGCATTGCGTGTCGTAAATAAGCATCGTAAATGTTTGTTGTAATTGCGCGTCGTAAATGCATGTCGTAAATAGACGATGCGTAAAAGCGTGTTGTCTTTCGTTATGACAGGGCCTTCCTTGACATGCATTTTCGTGTCGTCTGTAACGCCCGTAGATCCGGGCTAGTCAATCTAGAGACAATAAACATCAAAAATGAGTTTTTGATGAAATATTATTTAGAAGGATTAATATTTTCCAAGTGGTAGTATATATTACAAGGGTTCCGTACTTATAAAGAACGCCGAAATCCGAGTTATAACGAAGAAGTTATGACCTGTTGAAGTTTTTCGGCAAAACCGGCACGGCACCGGGAGACGTAAATAGTGAATTTACGATGCAGGACTTTTTAGCCTTAGTAATCTAAACAAAAGTTGTAGTATACGTTAAACCGAGAACATCCATAAAAAGAACGCCCAAATCTGACTTCGTATGAGAAAGTTATGAATTTTCTAAGATTTGGCTTAGGAGTGCACGACCCGAAACTCGATTTTAGTTCGAGCGGTTTTTGGCTTACGCGACCTAAATAAGAGTTGAAGATCTCATTAATAGGAACTCAACGGTAAAAAGTCAGACGAAAACGGAGTCCATATGAAGGAGTTACGAATTTTCCGCGGCTATTTAACAGTCTAATCTCCTCCTACTGTTAAATTTAAGATCGGTCGAGAATTAGCCGACGGAGTCTAAATGAAAGTTGTAGATCTTATTTTTACCTACGCGTGGATATAAAGAACGTTGAAAATGGAGCTCGTATGCAAAAGTTATGAATTTTTGAAAATCGGCTGTTTTATCCCTTGTGTTCGGCGCCACGTGTCAGCACCAGGCGAAGCCTTGGAGCCTACGCGGGTACCACGACGTGGTGGGAGTCACCACGACGTGGTGTCGCTGCAGGAGCACTATAAATAGAGGCTCGGGGATGCCTCATTCCTCACACCTTTACCCACTTCTTTCTCTCTCTAGAATCTCTCTCTAAGCCACCAACCCCCCCCCCCCCCCCCCCCCCCCCAAAAAAAAGCCTAGGAAACTTCCCTAACACTTGGAGAACGCCTCGGAGAGCCCGGAGTCTCCGAGAAAAAGAGTTTTTTGGTTTGAAACTCTGCCCGTGCGGAGCCCGGTTTCAAGCAAACTTCCCGGTTTCGTCAAAGAAGATTATTTTTAGAAGCGAGGTGCTGTCTGAATCACTCCTTATCAGGTGAGTGCATAGTTACTTTCATCTTACACATAGATATGAAGTATTTTATATAAATTACGTGTTATGTGTGCATATCTACTTGAGATCCGTGCTAGATGAAAGATTTAAACTTCTTTGTTTTTAATCTAAGCTGTATATGTATTTTATACTTTGAGATCTATGTTGGATGAAAGATCTAACTTCTTTCTCTACAGATCTGAATCTTTTTCTTCAGATCTAGGCTGTAGATGTACTTTGTTTACAGATTTGAACATTTTTCTTCAGATCTAGGCTATAGATGTACTTTGTTTACAGATCTGAATCTTTTTCTTCAGATCTAGGCTGTAGATGTACTTTGTTTACATATCTGAATCTTTTTCTTCAGATCTAGGTTGTAGATGTACTTTGTTTACAGATCTGAACCTTTTTCTTCAGATCTAGGCTGTAGATGTACTTTGTTTACAGATCTGAACCTTTTTTCTTCAGATCTAGGCTGTGGATGTACTCTGTTTACAGATTTGAACCTTTTTCTTCAGATCTAGGCTGTAGATGTACTTTGTTTACAGATCTGAACATTTTTCTTCAGATCTAGGCTGTAGATGTACTTTGTTTACAGATCTGAACCTTTTTCTTCAGATCTAGGCTGTAGATGTACTTTGTTTGCAGATCTGAACCTTTTTCTTCAGATCTAGGCGGTAGATGTATTTTGTTTTCAGATCTGAACCTTTTCTTCAAATCTAAAGCTATAGAGGTATTTTATATCTACAAAAATATTGGGTAGAACATGGGTAGATAAATGATGAGGTATGAAAGATGATATAGGTGAATATTGGTAGCTGCATCATAACCTGTAGATGATTTTGAAACGCAATGTACTCTAAACAACCTAGCAGATGCGCATATAGGATAATATCGGCAGCTACGCCTAATAGAGAACGTCATAATCCCGACAGCTGCGCCTAGATGATAATATTGGCAGCCGCGCCTAAAAGATAACATTGGCAGCTGCGCCTAATAGATGATATTGGCAGTTGCGCCTAGTTGAAAACAACACAATCCTGGCAGTTGCGCCTAAAGGATAATAATGGTAGTTGTGCCTAATAGATGACATTAGCAGTAATGGACTTCACGCGTATTCCCTAGGATAAACCTTAGGAATGAATGAATGAAGGATAACTGATTCTTAGGGTAATCCTTAAGAATAAAGATAATGGTGATGGGTAATTGGGTTGATTATTAAACATAATAATTATATTATTGTGGGTTGAAAACCCTATGTAGTCACCAAGTTTCCCAACCTGACCCACTCAGTTTATTCGTATCACAGGTGTCGATATAAAGCTGCACTACACTGAGAGATTAAAGAGATGTGGACCACTAGTGATAATGAATGTAAGTTCTGTTTATGCTTATGTCTCTGTATTGACGATGACATCCCAAATGTTTTAAAATGAATGAAAATACATTTCTTCGGAAATGCTTTGATAACGTACTTATCATGTTTTCTGGGAACAAATTACGTAACATTTTTATTAAAAGAGGTACTCTGATTTTATAAAGCATAAACAAAATCAGTCTTTTCTGGCCGTGAAAACGGGGATGTCACATCGTCTGAGCGTTTTACAACACGCATTGCGTGTCGTAAAAGGGTGTTTTTGTAGTAGTGATAATTGATTATCGATATCTACCGGGTTGAATTCAAATGGATGGGATAAAGGATACCTAACAATTTATTTGTTTTGCAACTTGGATCCTAGACTTTGATAATTAATGTTTTTGGAAACTAAAAGGGTATTAATTATTAAAGAGTTTAAATATTGAAAATACTAAATGAATTTTTAAAATTTTTGTAGTTAAATAATCCATTCTCATTACTATGAATTGTCATAATGACTTAATGAAACAATAACATTCACTAGATACAACTTTAGTGAATGGGTTCATGTCTTAAGAGACAATCTCGCAAGAGATATAAAATTGTATACACTTAAAGGTCCTACTCCTAAACTATTTGCTTTGAGCAATAAGCTTGAACATGATACCTAGTAAAGGCATCATTGTGATGCTAAAGATGTTTCTAACATCAAACTAGGAATAGTTCAAGGCCCAAAAGAGTCACCTTGTGTGATCTAGGAGGCCCGTGTTTTATGGACTGAACACCTTTAAGCTCAATAAATCCAATAAGGACCACATAGATGTATCTTGTTTCTTTTGTAGAGAAACTGAACACTGGAAGAGGAACTGCTCCTCTTATATGGAAAAAAATATCTAGAAGAGACTAGTACTTTAGGTATCTACTAGTTAGAACTCATACTTTTCATATAACACTTAGGTACTTGGTACTTAAATGTTAATATAATATTTGTAAATGGCTTACAGATATTTACTGAAGAGTAACCAACTGAGCACAATCAAGTTGGAACTACACTCTTGGAGTTTAGTTTATTAATTATGCTAGGAACATAATGTACTTGTAATATGAAACGATGTATTTTTAATTTAGCTTGCCTAAATATATGTCTCAGTTTAATTTATGAATGATTGATTATTTACTTAAATCGTTTTTCATAACGATCACCATCATATTCGGAAATGATTAAAATTATTTTATGAGACTAGATCTCTTAATTTGAATTATAAAGTAAATATCAATATTTTATTAATAACAAGTTCTATATGCAAAATACTTTTGAATTAAACTTGTTTTAAATCAAAGTCATCTTTGGCATTGTTATCTTTATTATAGAAATGACATTCACATATTCCAACTTCAATAAAGGGATCCTTGAAGGCAAATGATGTAGTTTATTTAACATATGTATATCTTATTTATATATAAAAAGATTCCTAATGATATTTTCACTAAGTAGTAGAGAAAATAATTATTAACGAACTATACATTATGGTGTATGACTTCCTTTCTAATGAATGTATAAGATTTATCATAAGATACCAAATCAACTTTATTAACAACTATATAGTAGTTATAAATTATATTTTACATGGTAAAACATAATTGTGAAACCTTTGTTTAATTTTTCAAATATAAAGTTGAAATACAAACCGATAAGAAGTATCTAAGGCCTTAATGATAATAAAGGATGAATTAAATCTTATTTAGTCTGATTTATTTTCTAATCGGTAGAAATGTCCTCCTTTTATTTCCTTGGGATAACCCCTAGAACACTATCAATTGTACCTTGAGTACAAACACCAACTAACTAGTATATATGTCATTTTCTTCATAAGATTTTGTATTGAAGGGCTCCATCCCTATCTTATTAAATGTTTTATGGATTTAAAGCCTATGTTGGACTAAAGCTTTTAAACGCAAAATCCACTAGATACATATTTATATAATACTCTAAATGTGGCTTAGATTATTATAAGCAAACCCACCAAGAATAAGTTTTTCATATTCCTATGATAACTGAGTTAGCAGAAAGCAAACTTCTAATGACAAAGCAAGTAGGAGGTACATGAAACTTAAAGAAACTCAAGAACCATTACCTGATGTAATAATAGTTGGCACTAGTT